CTTTCATGCATGCATGATTACTTTATCTACTATTTTTTCTTTATTGACATATTAATTGAAGATTGGCATATAATAGAATAAACATAACATAGACAAAGGAAGAAACGGAATACAACGGCAAAGAAATATAACCTATGAAATAATTCCTATCGTCACCCCACCTGTGTGCCTCTAGAGGCGCAGAAATGGTCCCTGGCTATTGACTGCAGTCGAGACTGGCTGATGACACCCCTAATTTTCTATGGTTGTAGAATGAATGAATGAATGAATGAATGAATGAATGAATGAATGAATGAATGAATGAATGAATGAATGAATGAATGAATGAATGAATGAATGAATGAATGAATGAATGAATGAATGAAATGAATGAATGGATGGATGAATGAATGAATGAATGAATGAATATGAAGATGACAAAAAGGCTAAACGCTCTTGCCAACACTAAGTAAATTCGGACTTGCCCAAATAGTACAAATACGCTACAATAGCACAAATACACTACAATAGTACAAATACACTGCATCAAAATTGCAACATTATTTACATACAGCATGTATAACTTAACATTTAAAAGTAACATCACATGTGCCTATCAACTATCTACGCATGTGCCCTATCAACTCCTGCCTAAACCTACTCAATAAGTGGAATGACAGATTACCAAAACTGAACGAGCGTATGCCTTCACGATCACCCGTAGCGGAGGCAGTCGGAACCAAGTCCCGTCTTCAAAGCTGGTAAAATGGACGGTGTGATTCTCATAGTCGAACCACCATCGACAGTCAGTCCTGTTCACCACCACCTACAGACCATGTTTGAGTAAAAACACGTTAAACTGTGGCTTTCAGTGGCAAAACCTCAATTATAATCTTCAGTTCTCTAAATGGGTGGAAAGAAGACCAAGCCTTTCTGCTTTACATGGGGTGTAGGACGGTGCCCATCTCTGTCTGTATAGCCCTTGGACCACCACCTGTCCATAGAGGTTTTATATATATATATAAAATACAAACATTTCATGACCAGACATGGTGACAGCACACTCAAGTTATATCAACTTACTTTATGCCACCACCGACACAGAGGACGAATACAGGACAGGACAATACTTATTTTCACCTGAGTGAAGTGAGGAAAGTCGTGTAAAGTGCCTTTCCCAAGGGCACAAGATCGGTGGCATAGTTGCATGCCAGGACTCGAACCCGGGACCTCTTGGTTCCGAGTCGAGCACTCTGCCGCTACGCCACACGACCCCACACGACGGTAATTGAAACGTTGGACGTAAAAAGCAACTGTTCGCTGAATAAAGGAGCATCTTATAAGATCAGTATGAAGCAAGTTTAAACTGTAATTTCCAACACAAGAAATTGGACCCTCACAAATTTTCCACTGTACAACTCCAGTCTCTGTCAAGGAATTTTCGAACCAAAGTGATATATTAATATGTAGATTTCGATATGATTGTAATTTGTATTTCCCTACTATTAATAATTTATATTGTAAACAACTTGATCAGAATTCAGCCCTGTATGTCAAGGCTGCGAGATATGTTGTTGATATGTTGATACAAACAAATAAACCAAATCCCAAGGAATGAACAATCCACCGCTTCCGTGGGGCGTCACGGAAGCGGTAGATTGTTGAGAACTTCATTCCTTGACAAAGTTGTACAGTCGAAAATTTGGGTGAGTCCAATTTCTTGCGTTGGAAAATACATTTTAAACTTGCTGCATAATGACTTCTACCAACACAGATGAACTTTCAATTTCTTCTAAGATCGTCGCGATAGTTTGTAAACCCACCTGGTATGTGTATATTTGTACTGTGTGTGTAATGTGTAATGAGCCCTGGAAGATTAGCCCTAACGGGCTAAAGGGTATCGTAATAAACTGAACTGAACCTGGAAGTCCTGTGATGATATCATCGTGACGACTTCCATTCTTTTCTTGCCCTTCAGAATCCCGTCAGTCAGCTCATTTATGGCGCGAAAAGCTGTGGCTGTGGCGTTCCGATTCTGCAGCAGAACAACGAGAATCAAAATAAACAGGACGTACCAACTACTACGTAACTAATACCAGCTCAGAAAAGAACAAGAAATAGCCAATTCTTCAAGTACCAGAGCTATCAACCAAGGATTGAGGTGTTCAGAAACTCATAATCTTTCCTAGAACTATCGCAGAGTGGAACTCGCTGTCACCAAGTACAGTAGGAGCATTATCATTAGATACTCGTAGCTTTAAACAGTGTTTAGAGTTAGATGTTTTTGATGATTAAAATTTATGTGAATAAATGCATTTCTAAAAAAGATGACTTGTGGTTCGGACCTATGTTAAGAAAACCATCATGCCGCAGGAGTTGGCCAGGAAACAAGTGCATTACCACAGAACCAACTAGACAGAGACAGAAGTAGCAATTTATCTGATAACACTCAAATCTACCCGACAACGTCCTGGTTTGAACATCCAAAATGGCGGACAATAGCTACGTCACAGTCACATGGGTGCAAAATGCCAATAATGCCCTTGTTACTCAAGAGAATAAGACCAAGCAAGAACCGCCTTTTACCTTGCGCAAAGTTGCCCTGACGGTCGAATTTGTATCGTCAGGTGGCCCAAGTCCATCGTGTTTCCATCTTGCAACAACTTCAGAAGATTTGAAGACATTGAAGGCACCTGTAAGGTAGAAAAAAATAAATACATTCATAGAGCGAAATCATCTTTCCATAATCATCATCATCTTTCTAGAGCATGTTGAGTTGAAAAAACTAGCCTCTACCAGGCTTCGGGAGGCGGCTGGAAAGAGTGGAAATCAGTCAAATAGAGATATAACATGTCAGGGGAGTTGGTCCGCACCCGGTGCGGCAAACTGTTCTCCCAACTCCCCTGACATATTATCTCTCTATTTGGCCGATTTCCACTCTTTCCAGCCGCCTCCCGAAGCCTGGTAGAGGCTAGAAAAAGCATTTTCCCTCCTCATTTTGTAAATTTTGTACCCAAAATGAAACGAATTCCGACAGACACATTTTCTCAGTGTTAGAAATCAAACCTGCTCACCTGTCATGGTAATACCGGCTACTCTCTCGACCTTTTCTTGTGTCATGTTTGTTTCGCCAATTTGTGTTGACATGAATTCGGCCATGTGGAGAAGTTGTCCGGCGACGCTGACCTGTCGGCACAAAAACAATCGTTTGTTTCCTTGATGTTACGAGGGAAGAGGTCCGAAAAATATTTACCAAAAGTATAGAGTAAAGTCCTAATAAATCTAACACTTAAACACATATTTTTACACATAAGAAAACAAGTGAGAACTGTTACATCATCACCCGGACGGAGGCATCGGGCCGTCAGCCAGTTCCCTTTGGCGGCCCAAGGCAGAAGCTATACGCCCGCCGAACTAACTTAGCACTACGGGGGAATTATAGCGGGGGAGTTGTAGGCTGAGAGAGTTGGATGGCGTACCTGCGCGTCTGCGGTGACCTCATCGTCATAGTGCGTAGCCTGGATGAGTGACTCGGCTGACTGGATGACGGACTCCGTACTCTCGATCGGGATTCTCCCCACGTTAAAGATGATCGCCTGTCGCGCCTGGTAAGTTATCGGCAGCAGAAAGACGATTATTACTGCATATGTCACCGTATTTTGTCAATGATCTTCTTAACAACCAACCTGCCAACCAACCAACCAACCAACCAACCAACCAACCAGCCAGCCAGCCAGCCAGCCAGCCAGCCAACCAACCAAATAAAGCATTGTAAGTAGACTCTCCTTTCTCTGCCTTTGGTCTTTATTCCTCTTTTGTCCTCACCCTTTTATTTGTTGTATATGTCTTTTTACTTTTGTATGAACCCTGGAAGATAAGCCTTTTGGGCTAAAGGGCATATGTACATAAATGAACCATCCCAGTAGAAAACTACATCCACAAATGTGCAATAATCTAACGTACCGCTCTCCAGTCGTCCACTGGATAGCTGCCCTCAGCGCGGATGTTGTTGAGAGTTGTGGCCGTGATGGTGCTCAGGTGCACCGCCTCCATCTTGTTTGCCAACCGGATGGCCCGCTGCACTTCGGCGTCGGTCTCGTCAATGGCGGTTAGAAGCTCTTCGAAACTTGGAGGCAGCCGAACCTGTTGTAAGCATAGGCAAATATCAAGACTATAGTTCAAACCGAAACCTACTTCAGTCAAGAACCGAGAGATAAAGACATCGGCTAGCTGTCGGAGAAAAGAGGCTTCATTCAGAAAACTAGAAAGGTAACATTGCATAATGTTTACCTTCACATGGTTTAGCCTAACAAACCCCTGCTACATAATGTAATCCAACACCACACGGTGTCTGCTACAGCACCAGTTACCATGGTGACGGCCCTCTGGTCCAGGTAGTTGACCTTACTTATGTGTTTGAAGAAGAAGACTAAAAAGCTAAACTCCTATCTGGTGATATAATCTACAGTCTAACATTGCCCTTACCGTGAGTTCCAGCTCGCTTGTTTTTGTCGTCCCCTGCTGGTCGGACGCCTCCACTAGAATGAAGACCTTGAAGTCATCAGCCGCCAGGCCGGACGGCAGTTTGAACGGACGCGGCGTCGGCGACTGTTTCAAATGGAAGACAAAGAAAAATGTTTCAATGAGAATCATTTCATTACGTATTACGTTAAAGTTTCAAAGCTGATTACGACTTCACGATTTGCGGCTAATGTCCTAAAACGAATTACGTTGATTTTTGCGGAGGCTGCCTACGAATTACTTAATATTTGTAATATCACTGCGCTACGAGAATGCTACACACACTCACCATCCCATGGTACAGTAAGTTGTAATGCCCTGACTCCTTGGAGGTCACCAGAGTGCTGACTGTAGCCGTGGCCCGTGTTCTGTAGTAGTACTCATAGCGAATAGCTCCAATTCCCTCAAAGTCTGGCGAGAAAAGATAGAAACAAGGTTGTCAACTAGAGTGATGTGATCTGGAACGTGCTAGAGGTGTGGTACTCATCCGTGAGGATGCAGAACGTCCCCAACCGAAGCTAGATACTCATCTTATTACAGCAAGGAAATTGCCGTAAAGGGCTTTCCCTGCAATGCCGCTTTATAGTGTACGTCCTCAACCCTATTCTCAAAACCACGTTTCACCTAACACGTATAAAAGAAGTGCAGAACCGTTTATCCAGAACCATGCTCAGGTATGTCCACGCGTATCCAGAACCATGTTTGGGGAAAATCTCTGTTCTCGGACACACAGAGCCTATCCAGACCCTAACCTTAAACCATTCAGACATAGCTCTATATAGGCACGGTTCTGGATACAATATGAGCATACTGAGTAAAGAGACGTTTCGTTGACGGTCTGTCACCTTCCTCAGGGCAATTCTGACTGGTTCACATTGCAATGCAGCTCCCTGTAACCAAGCATATGTGTAGTATTGTATATTTCGGAATGCATCTATAGCAGCGACACCTGTGAACGAGCCAGAATTGCCCTGAGACAGATGGTCACCGGAACATCGGCTGAATAAAAGACTTGGTTGTGTAGAGAGAGTCTCTTTACAAACTATTCACGAAAATATGAGCATACCTAGGCAGCTCAGGTCAAATCTGGTGGTCAGGGCGATTCCCTCCGTCGGGCTAACGGCGCAGAGGTTGGAGACCTCCCGGCACTCGCAGCCCTCTCCGGCCCACCCCGGGTCCTCCTCGCTGTACGGCTGCGTTCGGTTGCACTCGACTGGCGCGGTGGGAACAGAGATTTATAAATTGATTTAAAAGAATATATATATATATTTTATGTGGCAGCAACAGGATCGCTAGATGTTCCTATACATGGTCGGCATCTCCGGTGGAATACAAACTAAAGATGGTGCTATGAATTATGAGATAAACAGTTAAACACGCCATCTCAGAATTCAGAGAACCAGCCCTTACCGGAGGAGAGAGGTACCGGTATGTCTGTCAGAAACAGCCCTTACCGGAGGAGAGAGGTACCGGTATGTCTGTCAGAACAGCCCTTACCGGAGGAGAGAGGTACCGGTATATCGGTCAGAAACAGGCCTTACCGGAGGAGAGAGGTACCGGTATGTCGGTCAGAAACAGCCCTTACCGGAGGAGAGAGGTACCGGTATGTCGGTCAGAAACAGCCCTTACCGGAGGAGAGAGGTACCGGTATGTCGGTCAGAAACAGCCCTTACCGGAGGAGAGAGGTACCGGTATGTCGGCAGCACAGACGGGTTGGCGCGCGTTGGCGGGCGGAGCCGGGATGGTGAACTTCCACTCCGCATAGCTGCAGTTGCCGGTGACGCAGAGAACGCCATTGGTCAGGATGTCCAGACGAAGGATGTACTCTCCCGGTACCTACAGGAAAGGCAATACCTCTGACCCCTCCATGCCAACATATAGGACTGGACAATGACAATGACTGGACTGGACAATGATGTATTTTTTGTTATTATTACTATTTATTACTGTTATTGGTTAATTATTGTGTTTTCGTTATTATCATTGCCATTATAATTTATTTATTGTTTTCGTTATTATCATTGCCATTATAATTATTTATTGTATAATTTTTGTATGTTAATGTTATTATTTGTATGTGATTGTTGTACTGTGCTGTGTAATACAGGGCCCCGTTGAAAAGCAGTGCCATCACTGAATTGGGTTACCCTGTATAAAAATGACGGAAATAAAATAAAATAAATAAAATACGTCAGAAGCGTCTTTGATTCAATGCTTTGATTCGTAGAAACCTAGTAGATCAGCGGCAAAACAAAAGGCGAAACAAAAGGTAAAAGGCTAAAAAAATGTTCATAATTCAAACAGACATCCTAGAACCATAGCAGAGTGGAACTCGCTGTCACCAAGCACAGTATACATATACGTAGGGGCATTATCATAAGATAGGATGAGTTCGATGTTCAACGGTTAGGTGTAACAAGTCGTTCGGTGAAATGTAGCCAGCTGCCGCCGCGCCGCGTGCCTGCGAAGCTGGTGTGTCATGCCGAAAGGCAAGGTTATACCGGCTACAATGACACAGATACAGACATATGAAGGAAATATAAGCTCTTACAGTGAATACATGGTCTTTGACGATGAGTTCTTCCTGATACTGGCCTGTCCGAGTGTCGTTTCCCCAGTCCACGCCGGGGAACCCGTCCGGAGCTTGCTTCAGACTCCAATAGAAGGAGTGCTCGGGGCCCAGGTCGTAATGCTCATCCGGCCACCAAGAATGCATGTTTCTGGGGAGTTTGAACTCGCAGTGCGCCGTGAGCCTCAGCCTGTCGTGTGCCCTGGTGGCCAGGTAGTTACAGTTGTCGCCAACACTGCACCTGGAGGCAAGGATCACAATGAGATACGGGGCTCGAAATTAAGTGATCCAATGGCCAATGACCACTAAAATTTAGGCTGGGACAACTAAAAAGACACTAGAACAATACTGGGCTATAGAAAAAGAATCAACATCAGAATGTCAGACATTCTTTCGTTTATCAGGCAAACGTCCGGGCTTTTGGATCCGAAAAATCCCCCCAAATTTCCTGTCTACACTGCAATTATACATTGTGCCTGGGAGTGAACATAAACAAAATAAAGAGAAATAAAAAGCAGGTTGGGACAATAGGAAGAAAAGTTTATTTCGAGGCCTGAGATATGTAAGTTACATGATTTCAAATTCAATTTACATAATGAGGCATCTAATTCACATAATGGTACATCTAATTTGAATAAAGGTACATCTCATTTACATGACGATAAATCTATGCTACGCTCACTTGGTGGTTTATCCGGTGGTTATCGCACCTGACCAGCTAGGGACATATCACCATGCACAGTTCAGGGCAGGGCATAAACCCAGTAATACAACAGCCAATTCAATGTGGCGGTACCTTTGTTTATTTATCTATTTAAATTGCCAACATTGCAATACTGTGGTAGGCCCTGGCAGCTGCAGTTGATGTCGGGCCCCACATTATGAAATACATACATACGTAAACATACACACATCCATAGCACAATAAGTCACAAAACACAGAAATCTCTTATACCTACAATGATCCATAACCTAGGCAGTATAAACAAGTAACAATATAACTTAGTATGGTAGGAGGCCAGAGGTCATTCGGATATATGATATTTGAATATTTACAGTGTTGTTGGAGTGTATTGTAAGTCACATGCGGGTGCATAGCAGATGTGGAAAGGGTGCATATAGAAGTCTTCGTCGACATCGAAGGACAACCAAGATTTACAGTGTCGTAGGAATGGATGGAAGGTACCTTATATAGCAGGTGGGATATCCCTGTGGGAACAGAGTCACCTCCTGTTCGTAAGGCAGCCAGTCACGACCTGACGTTCCGTGAGGGTTCTCCACACGCATGATGAAGGTTCCTGACGTGGCCTCCACAGGGGAGTCGTTGTACACGACAAAGTTCCCCCAAGACTCGGTCCGGCCTAGTACACTAAAGATCTGGCCACAGCCTCCTCCTAAAAATAAGACAGACTCACATGAACTTCTACGGCTTTTGCTCCCATAGCTTATTCCTTGCTGAAGATAATATTTTTTGTGGTGGAATAGCGACTTTCGAAAAACCCTTTTAACCCTAAGGATATGTCTTATGTGTCTTATGATCTAAGTACATAAATATGTGTCTCATTTTTTGTCTTTATTCCTTAACTCAAACTCATTTTACCAACTCAGAAGAAATTTCATGCTAGTCTCTTAGATAGCATAACAAAGATGGGGGGGGGGGGCAAAGTGTGGGGTCGGTGGTGTAGCGGCAGAGTGCGGGTCCTGGCATGCCACCGATCTTGTGCCCTTGGGAAAGGCACTTTACACGACTTTCCTCACTTCGCTCAGGTGTAAATGAGTATTGTCCTGTCATATATTTGTCCCCTGTGTTACTGACGGCATTAATATAAGTTGAAAAACTTGAGTGTGCCGTCACCACGTCTGGTGATTACATGTTGGAATAAAAAAAAGAACAAAAAACAAAGATGAATTGAACTGTACCTTCTGGGAGGCGACAGGTCCAGTCCCACTTGTCAACGAACCTGGGGTAGGAATTCGACTCCTCTACCTGCAGATCTGGGTCTATAGTGTACGCCTCCTCTTGGAATTGGCCCATAAGATAGCCCCCACTCTGGGACCTTGTCCGCGGTGAAGAAAAACAAAAAATGCGTTTAAAATGTAGCGTGTGTATGGATGTATGTGTGTGTGTGTTTGTGTGTGTGTGTGTGCGCGCGTGTGTGTATATGTGTGTGTGTCTGTGTTCTTGTCTGTATGTGTTTGTCTGTGTTCGTGTGTATGTGTGTGTGTGTGTGTTTGCATGTGTGTGTGTGTGTATGTGTATGTGTGTGCATGTGTGTGTGTGTGTGTGCATGTGTGTGCATGTGTGTGTGTGAGTGTGTGTGTAAAATATTTGTATTTGTAAAGCTCTTTGCAGCCCTCAATAATCCAATACAGTTCCACTTCCACTTAATGCAACAACTATAGACATAACTCATTATTGCATTAACTTGACCTTAATGATCTAAGTCAATAAACAACTGGTACAGACTTAATACAACAACAGTACATATATATTCTTTCTAAAAAGAATGTGAAGTGGTGAAAAAGACCACAAGGAAATGAACATGAATCATTATTGCACTGTATTTATAACTTGCATTACCTTATGTTATTGTCATTAATTTGTACCATACATTATTTGACTATCCTTATTGTATTATTTCCATTTTTTCTATTGTATTATTTCCATTTATTGATTATATTTAATTTTGTATAGTTTAGAGGAGGAGGGCCTTGTATAAGCATTCCATGCTTCTCCCCTCCTCCTGCACCTGTTTTATCCTTGTTTTGTATTATTATTGTCTGTTTTGTTTATGTGCAAACTAATAAAATCAAAACCTGCTGTGATATACGTCGATGAAGGTTAGACATCCAGGTAATACGATACGCCAAAAAGTAGTTACTCAAGCAACTGGATATGATTTTGAATCTTTCAATATTGATTTTGAATCTTTCAAAATCAGAATCATATCCAGTTTCAGAATCATATCCAGTTGCTTGAGTAACTACTTTTTGGCTGCTGTGATACGTTTGTTTGTTTATCCATTCCTCTACACCACATTCTTACAAGAAACACAAACCCAACCAGAGGGCACCAGCTACGTTTCAACACACTACACTGTAGAACAGAGACCTTTAGAGGTAGCTTTTTCCCACGAACAGTGATCGAATGGAACGCCTTACCTGACCATCTGGTAATGGCTAAGTCAATGGAACATTTCAAAGCTGGGGTAGCCAGTCATTATGGCTTCCCTAGCTGTACCCAGCTGTAGGAATGTGGCCAATACACAGCCATGACTTCTGTACATAGTTATTGCACTTGTTTTTGTTATTATTTGTTTGTTGTTATTTTTTTCCTCACCACCACCACCGGTCACGCTGGGGAACGACCACTTCCCTAAGCACTAGACCCCGCGAGGGATATTGCTTAGTATTGTATAGAATAGAATAGAATAGAATAGAATAGAATAGAATAGAATAGAATAGAATAGAATAGAATAGAATAGAATAGAATAGAATAGAATAGAACATCTCACCTCCTGGACCCTCCAGTGATGAGGATATTAACAGGAGACAGGGCGATCTCGACCCACGAGGACACCGCCGCCGTGGTGACGCCGCCGCCGTGCGTGACGGAGACACACAGCAGAACCCTGTATCTGCCGCTCCTCAGCGTGTTTCCCAGGATGGTGATCATGTTGTCATGGTAAATAGGGGCGTGTCTAAACGGAATCACCCAAGGCGGTTTACATGTGGTTTACCCCGAAGCCGGTTTCAAGTTAGCCTGGGTACCATCCGGATTTTCGCTACGCAACGCTAGAAAAATTCGAGCGTTGCGCAGCGAAAATCCGGATGGTACCCAGGCTAGTTTCAAGTGGCTCCATGTGAACGCTCCGAAATCACATTGAAAGCGCCTCGATCCCAAGCCACTTCTAGATGTGGTTTCGATTCGGTTTCCCCGCATCGCGATTTGCGTCTGAACGCAATGTGATTTCAATGTGACTTCGCCTCGTCATGGATTACGGAGTGATATTTCTTTTTTTATATGCAATACCAACTTTTACGTGGCAGCAACTTAAAGAGCAGTAATGGTCAAATAATGTGTCCGTTCTAGGGCGAGCTTCACCGCCTCTAGCGGGACCACGTCGGCATTCGGCCGAGATACGCTGGGAGGGGGGCATCAGCAAGCAGGTCGTTGACCTCTGATATTAATAACACGCCCCCTTGCGTGTTATCATCAAACAGCAATAAATGTAGCTCAAGCGCATTATGTTCGGACACGGTTTCGCAGGTGTGTGTGGTACGTGGACCAGATGTGAGGAATGTGAGTCACTACAAAATCCAGGGGGCCAACAGATGTAGTCGGCTCTCAGTTCCTTGACCTGGGTTAAGCCACTCCTATAATACCATAAATGGCCTTCTAGGCGTGACTTCATACAGCTCAGGGGAGACGTTGATTGTCAGGTTGCCCCCGGGAGTGACCCGCGGCGTACAAGGAAATTCATAAACCATTGAATACTTCTTATTTTTGTTTTATGTGTCTTTCACTTGGGAGGGGGGCAGGGAAATTTTGAAACCTTTGGATCAAAAAAGACATTTCATGACTATTTTACTTTATTGGCTTTAAGTTTTATGCTATACTGGTATGTAGCAACCTCTGGGATACATCCGTTACGTGCGCCATATCGACCAAAAAACAAGATATCTCCTCCAAACTACTCACTAAACAGCAGAAGCCGTGTAGCCTGTACACCGGGCAGCCATTTTGTTCAAAACAAGTTCTATTTGCCATGCGTAGAAGATAGAAAGTCCCTTTTTACTAGCTCATCCCACCCATTTCGGTTGAATTGGTACAGTCCGTCTGCCAGTGGAGCACTGAGGGAGTACCGCTGTGGCCTTGGGGTCGGCAGGCAGGGCACGTCAAGTGTCACTGCAGCTGAAGGGCCGAAAACAGCCCGGGGATTTTGTAGTGTACCCGAATCGCGGTTTGGGTGATTCCGTATAGACACGGCCTAAACGACCTGTTCCAGCAAGCAGCAAATCATTAATTAATTAATTAATTAATTAATGATTTATTAATTGATTAAATCATTCATTCAATCATTCAATCAGCAAACATCAAATGTCAAGTCATGCAAGTCAAGTCAATCTTAATTGCACAACAATTGTAACGGGTACAATGCATGGCAAACTCTTCAGTACTACATATCTAGCTAGCATCTACTCTCACGTCTACAGTTTCTATATGCGGGACACAACACCAGCAACAGCTGCTTGTGTCCCACGGGTATTTCACTGTTGCAATTTCAATAAATCAAATCGTTCGGACGACCAACCCCCCCCCCCCCCAGGCTCAAAGGTCCTGGACTTTTTGGTCCACTTTTATCAAAAGTCAAAGATCGAGTGATTAGTACTATCACCATCGGGGCTGGAATCCTAGTAAAAACTGCTCATTGAATGAAAAATTATCTCTGTTTTCTTTGAAATCCTCTCAAGAACGCAGGAAATGCCATTTCAGAAGGTTATTTTTCAAAATTTGCCGGGGCAGGGTCCCTAGAAACCACGCGCATTCGGGGCTCGCTGGTCCCTCAAGCAGTGGGAAGAAACCCCCCTCAAAATCCTGGTTACGGGCATGTATACCCTCAGGTAGGTTTGTTTGTTTGCTTGTTTATTTCGATCCCCATTAGTGCTTAAAAGCACTATTCTTCCTGGGGTCAATAAAATAAAACATAGATAACAAAACTTGTACATAATGATGATTACAAAATAATAAAGTAAGTTCAAAATCAATAGGAGAGGTCAGAGGTCGACCTAAAAAGTACAAAATACAAAAAGTACAAAATAATCTGAACATAATCCAGCTTTGTACGTAAACAACAAAGGTGTCCAAAAAATTACCAAAGGTATAGATAACTTAAATAACTGAATAGAACATAATGTCGAACTGATCATAATACCAAAGAGAAATATAACAAATTGATCAGCCAGGTACAAGAGAACGTACATGTGATATCGGTACGGACGTTCTGCAGGTATATCTGCCATCTCGTCTGAATGAGAGGGCACCACTTCCTGCCAAACCCTCCATGTGTAGGCGATGCTGTAGTCTCCGGGACAGTCCAAGTCAATGATACTGCACGGATTTAAAGACCAAAATGACATTAAAAAAAGTCTGTACAATGCATAACATATACAAAAGTATACATACAAATTTTTTTTACTTATTTATTCATTACGATTGACCACATACATAATATACATGGAGGGCATGGTGGAACAGGTGCACCTAAGTGCACCTTTTCAAGGCCACCATGCCCACAAATAAATAGACAATGTGCATAAAAAATACAAAACAATATAATCACGTGAAATTGGTTTCAATCATGATGACTGAGAAATTGAGTTTGTACGGCCTCCCAAAGGTCAATTTTTGGAGACTTTCCAGCAAGTTTCCCAATCGTTATCCGTGGACATCTCTATTTCCATCTTTATGTTTTATTTTTGCATTTCTGTGCTTTTTCCTGAGCTGACATCACGGGGTGACATCAGCTCAGGAAAAAATACAGAAATGCAAATTAAAAGGGTAGAGATGGAAATCGTCTGCCAGGACTGGCTTGTGCTGACTTTCCCGGCAAGGCGGGGCAGCAAAATTTCGAATGTAATGCTTAGGTCACATTTCCAAACCGGGGCCCGACCGGGCTGTCTGTATGAACGAAAAATTAACAATCCATATGAAGAGTATATAGATATAGTGCCCATGATTATCATCGAAAACATTTCTGTGTTTTGTTGACTTTTCGTTCCCAAAAGCTGCGGCTAGCCGTAGAACGGCCAAACTTGGTGACTTTTTCCTTGTTGGCAACAATTCTCTATCATTGGAATAAGATAATAATTTTTTGTGTTGCCATGGCAACGGGTTTCTGACAGGCATTTTTTGCTAATGACAGGCATTTTTTGCTAAATTTAGTACTTTTTGTTTCAACAATAGAATTTTATGGGTTTTATGTCAAGTTACTCATGGTTTCTAATATTAATAACATCCTATATAATTTTATGTAAATTTTATCATTGAATATGCATAATTTATGCTAATTTGATGACGTCATTGGCCAAAATCCAAGATGGCGGACCATATCATTAGAACAGGTATATACAGGTTAAAAGAGCCCCCCCGGTCCCCCCATGTCAAAAAAAGCCCGGTCTAGGTAGAGTTAACACACCTTCCGAATGTGGAGAAGTCCCCAGCACGCAACAGCTGAAACGGCGAGTCGTAAGGGCGACTTCCGGTATCCAGGACCACCGTGGGGAAACATGGAGACTCCGGACCGTCAAGGACTGCGTGAATGAATGAATGGTTTATTATGTAAAACATCGCAGCCATCAGGCTGAAATACGTTTCACTTACATAGTACATGATAGTACGTTTCATTTACATAGTGCACAACTCAATATGACGAATAGCATAAAATATTACCAAGTATTAAAATATTGATTAAAATATTACAATAACTAAACATCTGAGTGTGGTTGATTTACAACGTATTATTTGTTCGTGTTAAGCAGTCTCAACAGAGATGGTACAGGGCTGTTTTGAAACCGAGCTGTGCGGCAAGGCGCAAGAGTCAACAAAGGCAACAAATCAGAGAAGAAGAAACATAACTCTGACCTCCGTGGTACTGGTGAGCGAGCAGCTCATCAGTCGGATATTATATCATTTAAACACAAACTACTCAAGACCACCTACAACAGATCTAACACACATTACAGTCTAAACCTGCCATGTACTTGGACCACTTCTTGTGGGTGTAGTTCTTGTATTGCTTCTAGACCACACTAAGACGTGTTTCAACACAATTTATACAACTTTTTATTAAATATATTTAAATTATGCTTAACCTTCTATTTCGATGTTGTATATGTGTTTTGTATGGGGGAGGGCAACTTGTAAAGGTGCGTATGCACCTGTTTTGCCCTCCCTTTCACTTTGCGAAAAATCAAAATAAACAAATAAACAAAAAAAACAGCGTCGTTTCCTTCTGCGAAGGTAAACATAACGAAAGTTTAAACGTTTCTTGTATTAATATAAGATATTTGCACCCACCTAAGTCCAATTCACATGCAAAGAACCACAATTCCTGGCATGAAACCGTATCGTACGTATATGTGTTATATCCGACAGTGCATCGTAGAGCAGGATCATCAAACACGTCATACCTAGTAAAGGGACTTTGAGAAGGAAAATTAACAGTGAATGAATGAATGAATGAATGAATGAATGAATGAATTTTTAATTACGTGTCTTGTGACTTTTGTCACCCAGCCCATATAAGACACCAAAACATAAACACGAACATAAACATAGGTACAGAAATCATATAAACATAAATCCAAGTCTGAATCAAAAGGTCAGACTGGAAACATCAAATGAAATTAACGAACTTAATACAAAGTTGAACATGTTACCAATGACAATGTCGCATTCGAAAACGGAAATGTTTAGACAAACCGAGGGATTTGTTGGAAAAGTCAAATCAAACATAAGGCTACAGCAAGTAATTTTTATAGATGACATCAGCGCGCGCATTAATTTTGCCTGATTAGAAAAAAAACCCAAGAAATTTTGTTGCCCTCCAACGGTGGTCAACATGTCGAAAATATGTTCTGTTCTGTGTAATGGAAACGTTTTGGAATGGAAACGTTTTGGAATGGAAACGTTTTGGAATGGAAACGTTTTGGAATGCAACATTAGGCCACACCGACTTAATTTTATGGATGACATCCGCGCGCGCATTGATTTTCGCCTGTTCTAAAAAAAAAACAAAAATCACGTCCACCGAGGCTCTGGCCTGGCTCTAGGCCTGGGTAGTCCATGGTAGTTAGTGACAACACGTACAGAGCCGGGCACCCAGGCTACCGAAGCCCCACGACTCAAGAACTCAGCACATACCTACAGTGCCGATTCATAAATTCCGCAAAAAGCCAGCATGTTCAGGCTTGTCGTATACGTCGCTATGTACTGCCGCGAATTCACAATACCAGCTTTGTATTCCTGTAGTTTAGTAGCATTTTTATTTTTGGCCGTGCGCACTAGTTTGGGGGTCTTCAGAGGATGCCATCCATAAAATTTGATTTTTTATTTTATTAGTTCGCACATTAAACAAAACAGAGAGTAATAATACAAAACAAGGATAAAACAGGTGCAGGAGGAGGGGAGAAGCATGGAATGCTTATACAAGGCCCTCCTCCTCTGAACTATACAAAATTAAATATAATCAATAAATGGAAATAATACAATAGAAAATGAAATAATACAATAAGGATAATCAAATAATGTACGGTATAAGTTAATGACAATGAAATAAGGTAATGTAAGTTATAAATACAGTGCAATAATGATAATGATAATAATTGGTATGAGTTAAAATAAGAGAAAAACACTAAATGAGACTACTGCAGGGGGCTAGGTTCGCTTATCAGATGGTTTTTCAAAGCTTGTTTATTAATAAGTGAGAGAAGAAAATTACATGTAAGTCAGTTTGACCTTACCCAACACCATGCTCAACCTCAGCGCCGTCTGGATGTCTCCATATGTTGGTGCCTGGATCCGGTCGGATGTCCACCCAAACCTTAAAATCAAACAAACCCAATCCAGAACTGTAGTAGACCTGCAGCGTTGACATGAAACGAGAAAACAAGATAATAAAACGTTAAACTTTATTCCAACACACAATTTACAGGGATCAACTTTTCAGCGACCACTGTCGCCTTCATCAGGATAATTAATGACCAATCACTTCACAACCTGATCTCGCGAGAGTTACGGTTTACAAACACGCGACCTTATTCACACGAGACTGGTCATTAATTATCCTGATAAAGGCGACAGTGGTTGCTGAAAATTTGATCTCTGTAAATTGTGTGTTGGAATAAAGTTTAACGTTTTACTATGATTACTACCAACACAGATGAACTTTCATGATAATCTGAGAAAACAAGATGATTACTCAAAAACCACAAGGATGAGAAAAAAATGCGAAAAAAAGGATTGGGTTTTAGTTTGTCTTATTATGCAGAAGAGAGTCATGTCGGTTTTTCTTTACTGTGCTGAATAAAAACACTGATAACCCAGGGTCATGTATAGAGGTGTTGTCTGTTTGCAACCCGCGTATCTTCAAAGTTAAAAATTATTAAGTAAACAAGTAACGTTACATATATATGTTCACGACTGACACCGATGATACTGATACTTGATGTTTTACGTGTCTCTATACAAGCCAGGTCAGTTGAGTAAGCCGCGGATGCTACGATACGTAGATCGTGTTACTAGTGGGTGCGGGGCATTTTCCTCCGGAAAAATTAATTTGTAGGTCACCAAAAACGTTATTTCCCGCACTTTGAGAGGCAAATTTTGGTGAGAGAACGTCTGAAGTTATTTTGGATCTGGAGAAAAATATTTTACCTTGACCCTACCCCCAGGCCCCAAAATTTTTCCTAGACCCTCCCCCTAAGCCAAAAAATTTTTCCTTGACCCTCCCCCCCAGACGACCGCCCCCCCGCTAAATATCGTACAGAACCTTAGTTGTTCGTATGAGACTTGTTTTGAAGTGAAAATTGAAGTAAATTTTCTGTGAGTTTAATGCTATCTGTCCTTCATCACTTCAGTCTGTGAAAAGACCTGTCGTTTCTAATCAGTCACACATGTAAGGCACAACACGCCCAGTGGTATGAATAATACATGAGATGTGAAACGGTCGACTCTTACTAAGTGTGTATCTGTCCGTAGCACCTTGTTTTTAAAAACATATTCATTAAACATCCGTGAATAGTTTCACCAGGTTGGTAAGTCACTGAGCAAAGAGACACCGTGCTGCAGTGCAATGTGAACCAGTCAGAATTGCCCTGAGGAAGATGACAGACGGTCACCGAAACGTCGTCTGAATAAAAGACTTGGTTGTGTAAAAGAGTCTCTTTACTCATATTCTCATATTTATGGAAAATTTGGAAGCACGTGTGATCACCAGCTAATTGTCCTACGGGCCGGAACACATGTATCAAACGGCACCGCAGCCTAGGTATGACATAAAAAGGGGTACTTTACTATCTATGTCTCAGTAACGTTGAAAAGTTTTTAAAAAATAGTTTAAAAACCTCTAGTTTTCCTTCTTTTTTGATTTTGTTATACCCCAATTAAAAACGGGTACTTCACCGTATTCATTAGCTCCCTGTAAGCACGATAGTGAGCAGGGTATCGGGTGGATGCCAGGCGGCCGCCCACACTACCGCAGGTGGACTTTGCTTGGTCGAATGTCATCGGCTCGTCATCCACGATGGTGTAGTACTTGTTCCCCACCACCACTCTCGCGTCAGTGCAAAGGTCCCGCTCTGCAGCAACAACATGTTCAAAACATTGTCACGGAAATGAAGAGAAACCTGCAGTGGGGGTCACTCGAAGACAGACGTCCATGGGGAAAAGAAGCTGCGGTGGTTCAGGCACGTATCCAGAGCGAAAGGTACTTGCTCTCTCACATACAATTCTACAGATTCAGATTTTATTGAATATCGAGTGAGTGTGAGTGAGTGAGTTATTACCTCCGATCGCGTTTACGATGTACACTTACCATAGTCCAACCGTTCACACGCACAATGGTCCACGTGGATGATGCAAGCTGCCAGGAGGATCAGCAACTCGCCACTCGACCTCCTCATGGCGCTCCGATAGTTCTCCGATAGTCTTCTGCTCTGCAAACACGATACTCCCGGTCAGATAGCTCTACCTGCTGTTTCACTCGGTTCGGCCCTTTGTCCAGGCCGTTGTCGTGGCGTTTGGTGTAATTGTGTTGCTCGGCGATGTTTAGTGCAGACGTCACAAGTGTCCTTCATCTCCGGGCGATGAAGCGGCGCACTAATGAGAAATGACAGCAGACAGGTCCGGCTTAGCCTCTACCAGGCACCGCTGGAAAAAATAGTAGAAATTGGCCGAAATAAAGGGATAGTATACCGGGGGAGTTAATGACCGGCCAGAGAGGATCCAATTTGCGACACACGCTGGCCGGCTAACTCCCATTGTATACTATCCCTTTATCTCGGCCAATTTCTACTATATTTCCAGCGATCCGCGGTGCCTGGTAGACGCCAGGCTAGCTTTTATCGGTCATCTCGGTAGAAAGAATACAGAAGTTGTGCCTTAGCATAATTTATGTGGAGTTCCCCATCGGTACCTGCCTACCCTCGAGTCCAGGAGAAGGTAGGCATCAGTAAGAGAACTGAATAGGATACTACAATACCTCTCCTGCAATGCCTTTCTTCCACCCTAGACAATACCCGACGTACAATCTAAAGTACAGAAAAACTCAATATAAACTCCCACTCAGTTGTACTAACCGACACAAAAATCATTTCATTGTGAGAGCCACGAAAAACACGAAGAGTAAGCATTGTGAATGTGCAATTGTATTGTAAGCTGACGTGTATTGCATATACATGTATATTGTAATTCTTAATTATGTTACTGTTTATGCTTTTTTAATCTACGTATCTGTAAAATATCAACGCAATTCAGTGTACTGGCCGTGGGCGAATTTAACCAGGCTTCAAGTGACAAACTGACCATCGTTTATTGTTGCTTAACCGTGCAGGGGTGAAGGACACTGGTGACGCCTGCACCAACATCACCTAGTAATACAATTACACCAAACACCACGGCAGCGGCCTTGGCAAGTCTGCATAATACCCAGACCGTACGCGCCCAAGCCTGAGCTGAAGCACACAATAGAAAAGGCCTTCAAAGTCCTGGTTCCTTTGTGTAGTTGTATATGGGCAATCGGCAGTATCATTAAACGTAAATATTTTATAAGCTATCATTACCCTAAAGTACCCTCTCGTCCTTGACACAACACGCATATACAAGATATGTTCGGCAAAAAAGGTTTGGCCACTGACACAGAAATTCCATGTGTAAGGAAGCAATGTCTATCCTTAGTTTTGATGCAAAACTCAGGTTCAAGGATGCTTACAAGTACGGATGAAATAAATGCATAAAACACACAAATAAGACGAATACAATACACTTCAACTATGATCAGTTTGTCACTTGAAACCTGGTTAAATTTGTTCAATACCAGCACCGTTTTGAGATCAAATCTTTATCTTAAAAAAATCAACACTGCAGACGTGCTGAATTGCTTCAGACACACTGAATTGGCTAAAATTCTTTTTTTTTAACCTGCGTTGTTAGCTATAGTCTGGTGAAGACTACAACCAAGGAGTACTAAAAGTGTTTATGCCCAACCCCCCCCCCCCCTTTACGTTTTATTTATCGGATTGTATGCAAACGGCTTCGTGCAGAAATAGCGTGCTCTGGAAGCCGATTCCGTAGTCTTCCAGGGTTAGGTCATCTCGGAGAGTCTTGCCGGCAAACACCAACGACGATGCGGTATTACCTGAAAGTGCACCGCAGTTCTGCATTACTTTTACTTCACTTTAGTTTTACTTTATTGGGGACTGACAACACATCAGCACACAGGTCATCGAGGCAGTCAAAAACTAGTAGTAGATGACCCACAAATACAGACGTTATATAAACATAGATAAGGAAATCTAACTGCAAAGTACAAAACAAGAAATAATGTTAACATCCTTAATTGGTGGCAGAAGACAATACGATTTACACATAGTACAACAGATAAATATGCAAAAAAGATTCCCATCTAGTGGCAAATCATGCATGAATGTGTGGACACAAGTTGGAATTTATTGTTAACCAAAATGCAAATCGTTATTTGCAAAACAACCACAAAACATACATTTGTCACACTATATTTTCCATTAACGCTCAGTAAATTAAAATGGGATTTAAACGGTTGAGATTAGAGAGGGTGGAAGCAAGCTTAAAAAAGATTGAAGAAAGTTTGCTGAGAAATAAACAATATTAAAAAATTCATCAACAAGTAATACGAGAACAAATTAAAGCAAACAAGAATATGGCTAGGGAATTTCCAGAATACGGTATTTTCTTATATATCTTGATATAATAAACATACATGAATGGCTTACCTTTTCCAACTTTATAGCTGCATTTTTGCTTTATTGATGCCACAGAGTCGTTTAGACTGACGCCTTTGATTGTCACCGTGCGGGACCCTCTTGATTGCAGATGTACGAGGGTGGATCAAAAAGTTCTCGGCCTCACCTAGAAAATAAAGGGCAAACTCCTATTCTTTAGTATAACTGTATACTATGATGTCTTACATCACTGCACACAAAAATTCAAATTTCTATATTCATTAGTTAGCACGTGACGCCCCGTGAAAATGGGGCGGGTGAGGGCAAAATCACAAAATGGCCGCAACAGAAGCGTGTGCTGTGATCATGTATATCGATAAAAAGGGATTTCTCGTAAGGAAATCCATGAACACATGGTCAGGACACTTGGTGATGACTCTCCTTCTTATTCAACTATAAAGAAGTGGGTTGCTAGCTACAAGCGCTGCAAGGTGAGCACCAAAGATGAACATATGTCAGGATGCCACAAATCAG